ATCACTGAAACCTGGTGGGATAAATCCCACGATTGGAATGTAATAATGGAGGGATACAATCTATTTCAAAGAAACAGACCAGACAAGAAGGGAGGAGGAGTGGCGTTATATGTCAGGGATGTGTATACCTGTGAAGAGATCCAAGATTTAGAACCTCAAAGCCAAAGTGAGAGCATTTGGGTCAAAATTAAGGGAGAGAAGAATAACAGTGACCTCATTGTGGGAGTTTACTATAGATCCCCAAGCCAAACGGAGGACATAGATGATGCCTTCCTGGAACAGATGGCCAAGCATGCAAAAGGAAGGGAGATAGTAGTAATGGGGGACTTCAATTACCCGGATATTTGTTGGATGTCAAACTCAGCCAAGAGCATAAGGTCAAACAGATTCCTCACTGCCCTTGCAGACAACTTCATTGTCCAGAAAGTGGGAGAAGCAACAAGAGGAACAGCCATTTTAGATCTGGTCCTAACCAATGTTGATGACCTGGTTAGTGGGGTAGAAGTGGAAGGATCATTAGGCGCGAGTGATCATGCTCTTCTGAAGTTTACTATACAGCGGAAAGGAGCAGCCAAGCATACTAGGACTCAATTTCTCGACTTTAAGAAAGCCGACTTCATAAAGCTTAGGGAAGTGCTGGGTGAGATCCCATGGACAGTAATACTAAAAGGAAAGGGAGTTCAAGATGGCTGGGAGTTTGTTAAGAGGGAGATAGTAAAAGCACAACTTCAGGCAATACCAATGAGACGGAAACATGGAAGGTGCCTAAAGAAGCCAGGGTGGCTATCTAAAGAACTTTTAACTGAGTTAAGATTAAAAAAGGATGTGTACAAAAAATGGAAAAGGGGGGAAACCACCAAAGAGGAATTCAAACAAATAGCCAGCACGTGTAGACACAAAGTCAGAAAAGCTAAAGCACAAAATGAACTCAGGCTTGCTAGAGAGGTTAAAAGCAACAAAAAAGGCTTTTATGGGTATGTTCGTAGCAAAAGGAAGAACAAAGAAACCGTGGGGTCACTCAGAGGAGAAGATGGTGAAATGCAAACAGGGGACACAGAAAGGGCTGAACTCCTCAATGCCTTCTTTGCCTCAGTCTTCTCCGATAAAGAAAACAATGCCCGACCTGAAGAATTTGGAGCAAATGATTCAGCAGAGGAAACACAGCCCAGAATAACTAAGGAGATAGTACAAGAATACTTGGCTAGTCTAGATGTATTCAAGTCTCCAGGGCCAGATGAACTGCATCCAAGAGTATTAAAAGAACTGGCAGATGTGATTTCAGAACCACTGGCAGTCATCTTTGAGAATTCCTGGAGAACAGGCGAAGTCCCGGCAGACTGGAGGAGGGCAAATGTTGTCCCTATTTTCAAAAAGGGGAAAAGAGAGGACCCAAATAATTACCGCCCAGTCAGTCTGACATCAATACCAGGGAAGATTCTGGAGCAGATCATTAAGCAAACAGTCTGTGAGCACCTAGAAAGGAATGCTGTGATCACCAATAGTCAGCATGGATTTCTGAAAAATAAGTCATGTCAGACTAACCTGATCTCGTTTTTTGACAGAATTACAAGCCTGGTAGATGAAGGGAACGCAGTGGATGTAGTCTACCTTGATTTCAGCAAGGCATTTGACAAGGTGCCCCATGATATTCTTGTAAAGAAGCTGGTAAAATGCGGTCTTGACTCAGTGGATTTGTAACTGGCTGACTGACCGAACCCAAAGGGTGCTCATCAATGGTTCCTCTTCATCCTGGAGAAGAGTGACTAGTGGGGTGCCACAGGGTTCTGTCCTGGGCCCGGTCTTATTCAACATCTTTATCAACGACTTGGATGATGGACTCAAGGGCATCCTGATCAAATTTGCAGATGACACCAAACTGGGAGGGGTGGCTAACACCCCAGAGGACAGGATCACACTTCAAAACGACCTTGACAGATTAGAGAACTGGACCAAAACAAACAAGATGAATTTTAACAGGGAGAAATGTAAAGTATTGCACTTGGGCAAAAAAAATGAGAGGCACAAATACAAGATGGGTGACACCTGGCTTGAGAGCAGTACATGTGAAAAAGATCTAGGAGTCTTGGTTGACCACAAACTTGACATGAGCCAACAGTGTGACGCGGCAGCTAAAAAAGCCAATGCAATTCTGGGCCTCATCAATAGGAGTATAGCATCTAGATCAAGGGAAGTAATAGTGCCACTGTATTCTGCTCTGGTCAGACCTCACCTGGAGTACTGTGTCCAGTTCTGGGCACCACAGTTCAAGAAGGACACTGACAAACTGGAACGTGTCCAGAGGAGGGCAACCAAAATGGTCAAAGGCCTGGAAATGATGCCTTATGAGGAACGGCTAAGGGAGCTGGGCATGTTTAGCCTGGAGAAGAGGAGGTTAAGGGGTGATATGATAGCCATGTTCAAATATATAAAAGGATGTCACATAGAGGAGGGAGAAAGGCTGTTTTCTGCTGCTCCAGAGAAGCGGACATGGAGCAATGGATCCAAACTACAAGAAAGAAGATTCCACCTAAACATTAGGAAGAACTTCCTGACAGTAAGAGCTGTTCGACAGTGGAATTTGCTGCCAAGGGGTGTGGTGGAGTCTCCTTCTTTGGAGGTCTTTAAGCAGAGGCTTGACAACCATATGTCAGGAGTGCTCTGATGGTGTTTCCTGCTTGGCAGGGGGTTGGACTCGATGGCCCTTGTGGTCTCTTCCAACTCTATGATTCTATGATTCTATGATTCAAAAACAGCAAATCACCAAGTTGTCAGAAAGGCCTATATGGACTTGTCTGCACACAATATAGTTTTGGAACTACGCAGAAAAGGCCAGTCTAGGATCACAAATCCTGTTGGAAGCTTGTTGGTACGTGCTCTAGTGCCACACGGGTGCAAGGCAAGAGTTCTCCATCTCCAAGATGCAGGTGGAGGAAAAGCAGCTGGAGCTGACAATTTGAGGGCAGGAAAATGGCTGGGGGTGAACGTGTTTCACCGCCACCATTGCCACCTTCCTGTGAAATTGCAATCTAAGCAGCTGCATTTCATAAAACAAAAGCCACCTGTAAACACAGATAACAGAACTACAGATTGCTTGTTGTTCTATCAGTAGGTGTTGGAGCACAGGGCTGCACACACACAACATTATATTCAACATTCAGTGTACACTGCCATCTTGATTTTGTTGCTTCGCGCACACAAACAATCTAGAGCTACTGCATATTTTACGTCCCCAAAAAGAGCTTTTTCAGAAATTAGTTTCAATCCAGAAATAAAATATCAGAGCAGGTTGATTCTACATTACAATCCATTGTGTCTGAAGGGGTAGATGTGCTTCCAGCAACGGGGGGTGCATCCCCACACCCATGTTGTGGGTGGGTGCAAATACCAAGGGAGAAATTCAACATCATGCTGTTGATTGTTCTGTCTGGGCATGCATGTTAGCTCACCAGATCCCCAACTCTGGCAGTTTTCCTGACCCCCACATAGTCAATTTCAGATGGGCATGGAGGAGGAAAGGTGAAATCGCGCCATGGAGGGATTCCACTGATGGGACTCATGAGCTGAATCCTGCCTCAAGTTCACAATTACTTTCCTCCTTCTTCATTCACCTGGGGGATGTGCAGGGACAAAAAAGGCATGGATAACCTAATTACCATATTTTTCCGCATGTAAGACGCCCCCATGTATAAGATGCCCCCTATTTTTGGGGACTTCAAATTAAGAAAACACCCCTTAGCACTAGCCATGTATAAGATGAGCCACAATTCTAAACCTTTTTTTTTTTGGTAAAAAAATCTTATACACAGAAAAATACGGTATGTGGTTTTTCACATAAGTGTCATGTAGTCGCAGCCACCATAGTGGTAGAAAGGATCTAGACTCAAAGCAGCATGTTGAGGATGAGCATGGAAGATTCCGTATAGAGGAAAAACTTATTTGCGTCACAAGTTCATGCACACTGCCAGTGGATATACTTTGTAACAGTAAGTTGTTATTGTTATGAATGCAAGGTTCCTCTGCCAATTGGCAAGAGGGGTTGGTTCACAAAAGAAAAGTGGCTTCAGGCCGCTTACGTGCCCTCAGAGAGTCGCATTAAATATTAAGAACCATCATTTAAAGGGAAAGCAGAGACTGCTGTACTAAAGGCAGGCCCCTGCAACTTGTGACCCACAAGAGCTCAATAAACCTTTGCTTTCTGTTTTGCTGTCGATCTGAGGCTGCAAAAATGTGTGTGTGTGTGTGTGTGTGTGTGTGTGTTCCTGAGCAGACAAGCATCAGCAGCTTCTGGGGCTAAAAGAGGACTGGGCCACCATTTGGCAGAGAGATGAGGGGCAGCAGCAAGGTGTTGATTCTTTGCATGTCACACAGACTGCCCTACATCTCTCCAAAGCTGGATGGGGAAGGATGACAGCCAGGTCACCACCTTGACAGCCAGGCTGACAGCCAGAGCACCTGCCTTGTACACAGAAAATCCCAGGTTCAGTCCCCTACATCTGGGCTGGGAATGTCCCCTGTCTGAAACACTGGGGAGTTGTTGCCAGTCAGTGTGGACGGTACTGAGTTAGATGGACCAGTGGTCTGATTTGGTCTAAAGCAGCATACCCAACTCTTAAGCAAACCTACTGTCCTCAGGTGTGTTACTTGCTGATCCTACCAGCATGGAAAACAAACTCAACTCCTGTCAGCTTCTAAACTTGGAATGGGTGTGTTCATCCACTTCAGGCAGCCAAATGTTTTGGGCCAACCAAAACAATACTCTTCACATCAAAAGGTCCTAATCTTTGGTTCCTTTAGGACCAGCATGTGGAACTGTTTCAACAATTGTGCACACATGAAGGTGTATAAAGGACATCCACTTCTCCCCCCACTCTAAAACTGCATATATTCAATTTTTTTGTGCTTCAGCAGACTTCTAAACTTCAAGAACATAGCTAAGATCTGCCTCCAGAGGTTTATTTTCTCCTGGCCTTAATGGATGTCGACAGTGTAATGTATTTTACCTTGACCACCAACCCAAGAAGGCCCACTCTTGACATTTTCTTGACAAGCTCCTGGATAGAAAATCCTCTCTGCTGAAAAAAAAGCACAAAAGGAAACAGAGACGCGTGCCACTGCTTTTAAAACAGAGTTCCTTTAAAACAAACACATGAAATTATACAAAACCTCCTTGGGGGATGATTAAGAAAGGAATTGCTCTTGGCCTACCACAACATGTTTTCATTTAGCCACTAGTCACATTCAGCAGTTTTTGTACCTCCAAGTATTCACTGTCAAACCAAGTGAACAACATTATCTACACATTTATTTTAACCAATGGAAATAAAAACACAATTTTATATTTGTGGAAGGACTCCAGTCCCTGGAGGCTGATTGTGAAAATTATATAGTAAACAAGGGAAGGAAAAGAAAAGGATCCAAAGTTACTAGGGGTGGAAGAGAAATTCAAAAAGTTGAACTTTCCAACACAATAAGCAAACTGAAATGGACATCCCTCCTCCAAAGTTTGAAATGCACTTCTCCAGTCAAGTAATGTGTACAAAACTGTGTATAAAAGGGCAGAGCATGCATAAAGACACATATATTGGTGGAAAGAATATACGGAAACGCATTGTATTAGTGAAAATTGTTTTGTAAAATTGCGTATATTAGGCAAAAATGTGTATGTCAGGAATGAATTCTCAACAAAATGCTGATGAATTTTCATAAGGACTTTTGAAAAATCGCAAACTGATTTGGAAACATGGAGAACCGAACTTAAGGTTGGAAAAACCGGGAGAAATGGAAATTGACATCTTTGCCCATCCCTAACTTAAACCCAAGGTACAGTAAAAGGCATTCCATAACACAACATGGACCTTTAGTGACTAAGGAGGAAACTGCATTTCCCTGTAATAAAAGATACACCATTTACGTATATATTTTGAAGACAAAAGTGTGAAAAGGGGAATTGCTTGTGCAAGTACTTTTCAACCTTTCTTGTAACATGACAGTTACAAGAGGTGTAATGACAGGGTAGTGTAGCGATTACAGCAAAGAGACTTGGGACACCAGGTTCAAGTCCCCACTCTGTCACAAGGTGACTCTGGGCCAGATGCTATCCCAGTTTATCCTACCTCACAGGTTGTTGTATGGATTAAATGGATGGGTGCTGAAGGAAGAACCATGGATGATGATGATGATGGTGGTATATATATCACCCTAAGCTCCTTGGAGGAATGTTGGGCTCTGTGTGTAGTAACCCAATTAAAAACAGCTCAGTTTTATTTAATTCAATCTTATTAGTTCATTTAATTCCTTTCATCTTTATTGGATTGGAAGTTAAGCTGTTATTTTGCTGGCATGTAAAAGACACATTTGGCACACAGGAACTAGGAAGCGGTATGCACTGTGTATACATCTTACAAATATGGACTCATCAATATGAGGGAAATGACCCACAAAACAAAGAGAACCCAAGTGAACACAACCACACTGTGAGTGGCAAGTATTTGGCAAAGCCATAAGAGTTGGTAGAACAACTTGGAAAAACAGAGGCAAATGTGTGATTTTTCTCAAAGCCGTGCACTATAGAAGATTTAGCTTGCTTTTGATCTGGAGGAAAGCCCAAAAAATTCAATGTTGATTGGTGCAGCTATCACACAGGTTGTAGCGTTCAACTCCATCTCAACCATTTAAAGGCATTATTCCCACATTAAGTTTTGTGATGTAGTAATATCTCCTGGTGCTGTGGGTAAAACCTCAGTGCCTAGGACTTGCCGATCGTATGGTCGGCGGTTCGAATCCCCGCAGTGGGGTGAGCTCCCGTCGTTCGGTCCCAGCTCCTGCCCACCTAGCAGTTCGAAAGCACCCCTAAGTGCAAGTAGATAAATAGGTACCGCTTTATAGCGGGAAGGTAAACGGCGTTTCCGTGTGCTGCGCTGGTGCTGGCTCGCCAGAGCAGCTTCGTCACGCTGGCCACGCGACCCGGAAGTGTCTTCGGACAGCGCTGGCTCCCGGCCTCTTAAGCGAGATGAGCACGCAACCCCAGAGTCGGTCACGACTGGCCTGTACGGGCAGGGGTACCTTTACCTTTAATATCTCCTGGGGACCTTAACCCACATAAGAAGTGAACATCTGAACATTCTAAAGTAACATCCTAGCGAATTCCTAAAGAAAACGGGGGTTTAAATATTCCTCAGAAATTTGGGATAATAGCTTGTTGATAGTCACGGCAAAAGATTATAGCAACCAGAGCTGTCCCTTGAGTAGTGTGCAATTTATATCCCTGCTGAAATTGAGATGGAGTGGGGAGGTCTGACCGAAACAACCAGCACATGCAGTTTTTAAAAATACGGAATGGGATAGGGTTGCTCTGCCACATGTTTGTAAAACATCCCCATTTTGCTTTCATTATCCAATCTCTTAAAAAATAGGTCAATAATGGTCTGGCAGGCGCATTAGCTAGAGAACAAAAGCAGACAGAAACTGCTCTGTTATTTAATAATTCAAATCCCAAATGCTTAATTAAAAACAGTTTTGCTAGATGGGGGAAAAAGTGAGTAAGAAACCACATCTTCCTTCATGGGCTCCGCTGACTGGCATCAAAGAGTTGCCTCCCTCTTTTTACAACACAACACAGAGCATGATTTGGGGAGAGGGAATGTGGGGCGCCTCTCAGGGAAAATAAGAGTGTAATAAAATACTCCTCACTTGGTATTCTTGTGGCACCTTTCTGCACCCTTAGTTTATACTTCAGACAACACGGTGCCAAGTTAAATTCACAGCCAGAATAGCATAAGCTGTAAAGACCCTTCAGTAGAATAATTCTAGGATGATGATTAATGTAAATTGCTTCTCCCCCAGCCCACATCCTATTTTTCCTGTGGAGAATATAAATTTGAACAGGATTACTGCTGCTTTGTTGCCTATTTGCACCATTCTTTCAGGTAGCTTGGAAAACGGCCAATGTCTGGGGTCTGCCATGCTGCCTTCTACACAATATGCTGCTCATTAATAAGTTTGGCTTATTGACTGTAGACAACACCACCTAAAATTATATATTATATAGACATTCATGGAACAGTCTCTCAAGAGTGCACATTTCACAGAAGAGTTGTGTGGCCAATAGCACATAAGTGGTTTCCTGGGGGATCAGATGGAAAGGTCTATGCAGCCCAGATGTCTCTGGGAAGACCACAGATGGGAAATGAGGGCAATAGCACTCTCCTCCTTTCCAGAAACGGCTTTTGACTGTTTATGAGTTGTGTTCTACTGCATTGTTTTCTTATTCTGTAGCCTACTCTGGGAAGTTCTGGTGAAGGGTATGAGTTGGAGGGTTGGTTGAAAAAAAGAGAAGGTGCTGGTACTCCTAGCTTGATAAAAGTGCCATGAATGCTAGAACTAAACAGCTACTACAGGCAGCAAACACACACACACACACACACACGGCGATGAACATCAACAAAAAGAAAGCACTGAGTTTGAAAGGATGAGATGGGAAGACAGCTGGCCGGCCACTGTGAGAATAGGATGCTGGCTTGATCCAGTAGGGCTCTTCTAATATTCTAGGTTAGATTACTGAAATGTGTTATATGTAGGGCTGCCTCTGAAGATGGTTCAGAAACTTCAACTAGGGCAGAATTCGGGAGCCAGGTTGCTCACCGGGTCAAGACAGTTTGAGCATATTACATCAATCCTGGCCCAACTGCAGTGGCTGCCAGTTAGTTTCTGGGCCCAATTCAAAGTGCTGGTTTTGACCTATAAATCCTTAAATGGCTCAGGACAGCAATACCTCAAGGACCACCTCTCCCCATATGAACCTACTCAGGCCCTGAGATCATCCTCGGAGGCCCTTCTTTGTGTGCCTCCTCCACATGAAGTCCAAAGGGTGGCAGTGGCTCTCCATTTGTGGAATGCTCTCCTCAGGGAGGTTCAGCTATAGATTATAGAACTTTAGGCACAAGGAAAATTTGTTCCTCTTCAACCAGACCTTTGGATGATTGGCATCCAATGCCCTTTTAAATACGTTGTGAGGGAGGGGAATTATTGGTTTGCTGTTGCTTTTAATTTTCCTATGTATTTTGTGGGTTTTATTTTGCAATTTTATGTTGTGAACCGCCCTGAGATCCGCGGATGAAGGGCAGTACACAAATTTAATGAATAAAAATATTCATGCATTTTCATTACTGGGAGGAGACGATGCACACCAAGTCAAAGTTCCTTCCTCCTGTCATGTAAGGCTTAGAGGATGCTCGACTCGGGAAAACAGACAAGAACATTATTGTATCTCCTAAACAAGAAGAGCAAGAAGAAACTTCCGAGTCCATCTAGTGACTAACTTAGCAGTACTTTCAGTGCCCCTCCCCATTCTAGCACCCATGGGTGCACTTGGACCTCTTGAAAGAAGCACGAAAAGGTTTTTGAACTGGCCTTCCACCAGGTACCATTTCTGAGCTGAATCTGGCAGTGACATTACATATAACACAGCCTTTCGGAATAGCTTTAGTATAGATTAGAGCTAAGTATTGCAAGAAATGAAAGGGGATGGTTGTTTTAATTGGAATGGGGGTGGGGGTGGGGGGAAGAGAAGAGGCATTTTAAAGTCAGATCTATTTTCCACAGAGAGAAAAAAATCTCCACTTTTTTTCTATTTCTTTTTTTAAAACAGCCTGGAACATGAACATATTTGAAATGCAGACTCCCACATAAGTATGCCATCTGTGAAGAATTTGCAGCAAATCCCACCCCCATCCTGCCACAGTTTGATGGGGAGGGCAGGGAGAAATTGTATTACAATGTTGTATTGAGTTACACCGCAACTATTAGGATTATTTTTTTTTAAAAAAAAACCCCAGACCTCTCAGGGTTTCAAGCCTGGATATCAGGGAATGTTGAACAGTTCAGCTGCAGCTGAACTCTCTGGGCATCCCAAGGCAGGAAAAGGAAAGGAGGTTGCAGATTCGTGCTGCATGTTGCTGCATATGGCGCACCTTGCTCAAATCTGGGAGCCACATCCTTACAGACACGGAAGCATGTCCAGAGGAAGACCAGGGCAGGGTTCTGGAAACAGCTGAATGAGGAATGGTTGAAA